TTAAAATAATAGGAAATTTCAACTTCACTCTAACCAACATTGTAAACTCCGACTCCTCGTGGGATCGACCCTTCTACCACTACTACAACCCAAAACGTATCCTTGCATTTAAGTTGAGTGGCATTAGGTTATTTTGTTCTTGAATTACACATATTTTAATAACCTAAAATACCCCGCTTCACTAACTAATTCAGCTAAGAAGTTGGATTATATTTACATTGAATTTATGGATTGATGACATGGCAAAAGATCCGGCATCCAGAATCTTCCTCTGCTACAAGGTCGGTTGCACAAGGTGGGATCATGTGGAGGTGTTGAGCTAAATGAGTCACGTGCTGCTGAAGGTTCTTGTTGAGCTGACTTTCTAGATTCCATGCATGCAGGACCACTTGAGCTGAGGTGGAGCAATGTGATGTCATCAGAAGCAACTTGGATGTATACACTTTGATTCTGCAACATCCCTCCGTAAGATGAGCACCGGTCAAGCTCATCTTGGACATGATTGAATGGAAAGAGGTGCACCCAAAGGCTTTGTGAATATGTCGGTAAGATGTGCTGAGGTGAGATGAATCATGCCTTGAACTGATCACACACTACGTGGTAATCCACTTCTATGTGCTTAGTTCTCTGGTGGAATACAGGATTAGACGTGATATATAATGCAGCTTGGTTGTCGCACAGAAAGATATCGGAAGGGGAACTTGGATTCTGAAGTCATTGAGGAGATATGAAATCCATTGCAATTCGCGAACAGCAGATGCTATTGCTCTATATTCTGCTTCAACAAAAGAGCATGATATGATGGATTTTTTCTTTGCCTTCCATGCAATGAGAATTTGCCCCAAAAAAATGCTATAGCCAGTAATAGAATGTCGAGTAGTTTGGCAGCTCCCGTAATCAGCATCACTATATGGTGTCAAAGTAAAATCGGCTTCATGTGGATAAAATAGACCAATGGAAATAGTACCTGCCAAGTATCTGAGGATGCGAGGAGAATGGGTAAATTGGCTTGCTGCACTGAGAAAGTCAAATCAGGCCTGAATTCAAGTATAGTAATCTTCTAATAAGTCTGCAGTACTGTGCTAGATCAGCAAGGATGGGAGTTGGATCCTTATCCTCAGAAGGAAACCGAAGATCATGTGGCAAAGGTGTAGATGCTACACAACAATCCAACATATTACAATCTCGGAGAAGATCTATAATATACTTCTATTGATTGATGGATATTCCTACCTTTGAGTATTGAATTTCCATTCCCAAGAAATAACTGGCCTTTCCTAAGTCTTTCACAATGAATGCTTGATCAAGATAGCAACGAACCTTCTGTATTTCATGATCATTAGTTCCTGTCAGAAGTATGTCATCCACATACACCAAAAGAAATAGCAAATAATCTGTTGTTTCAAGAATAAACAAGCAGTTATCATGATATGATTGTTGGAAGCCATAATCCTGGAGTTTAGAAGTAAATTCTTGATTCCATTGGCGAGAAGCTTGCTTCAAGCCATACAGTGACTTTCTCAACTTGCACACTTGTTGACCTGAGGCCTTTCCATAACCCTGGGGTGGTATCATGTATACATCCTCCTCCAAATATCCATGAAGGAATGCATTATTCACATCCATTTGATAAACTGACCATCTTTTAGCTGCTGCAATGGCAAACATCAACCTTACTGTAACTGCTTTTGCTATTGGAGCAAAGACGTCTGAAAAATCTTCAACCTCCACCTGGTCATACCCCTTGGCAAATCGGTCTTGCCTTATACTTGTCAATGGTACCATCTAGTTTACACTTGATCTCGTAAACCAATTTTGATCCTATAGCTTCCTTGCCTGGTGGTAAGCTTGTCAATTCCCAAGTCCCATTTCTTTCCAAAGCATGTAACTCCTGATCCATGGCATCTACCCAATGTTTGTTTGTTCTGGCCTAATTATATGTACCTGGTTCTTGAAATCCAGACAGATTTGCCAAAAAACTATGGCAGTAGAAGAAGATGATAAAGCGATGTCAGAAACTGAGACTGGAGTAGGACAAGAATGACTAGTGATGAAGTCATTAAGCCATGCAGGAGGCTTGATGGCTCTAGAACTTCTTCTAGTAGGTGGTGGTGAGTTATGAGATTGATGATCAAAAGAATTGGTAGCCTTAGTGATGATAGGAGATTCTGAGTGATTATGTAAGGTATGAGATGAAGAAGGAGAATGATTTTCTGAAGTTGATTGTATAGGAAACATAGTGATATCATACTCTGGAACAGTGTAAACAGGCAGGATAGGTTCATCTGAAGGTGGTGAAAGAGAAAAAAAGATATGTTCATAAAAATGTACATCTCTTGAAATCACAATCTTTCACAAAGATGGACAGTAGATTTTGTATCCTTTTTGTCCTTGAGAATATCCTACAAAGACACCTCTTAAGGATCTCGAATCAAATTTATCTTTATGAGGACTATTAACAATGGCAAATGCCAAACAACCAAACACTCTAAGAAAGGACAAATCTGGTTTCTGTTTATGAAGAATTTCATGTGGTGATTGCCATTTCGAACATGGCTAGGTAAACGATTGGTCAACAAAGTAGATGTTAAAACAGCATCCCCCCAAAATTGTTTAGGCAACTTAGATTGAATAAGCAAAGATCTAGCCACCTAAATGAAATGTCTATGCTTCCTTTCAACCACTTCATTCTGCTGTGGAGCGTAAGGATAGCTTCTATGATGCAAAATTCCCACAGAGAAAGAAGAGTTTGGAATTGTTGATTTAAGAATTCAGTTCCATTATATGTTCTAATGGTTTTAACTAAGGCTTGATATTGAATTTTGATCGTGTAAGATAATGTTTCATCAAATTAGGTACTTCTTATTTATGTTTGAATAAGAAAATCCAGGGCATTTGCTAAAATCATCAACAATGGAAGAAAGTAATGACAACCGAAACGGAAGGCTGTTTATAAGGTCCCCAAACATCTAAATGTAACAATTCAAAACAGTAGTTAGAGTGTATCTCACTCAAAGGAAAACGAGTCTACTTTGTTTTCCTAAAGGACATATCTCACAAACTTGTGACATCAAAGGAGAAATCTTACAATCGAAGCATGTCAAAGGACTACATTAGAAGGGTGTCCTAGTTTAAGATATAAGAAATCCCCTGAGATTGTTGATAGTGCTTGTTTAGAAGGCTGTGTAACTGATGACGTACGTGAAGGCTCGTGAAGGTGAAGCATTAAAGCTGCAAAGTGTGTAAATGATTATTGGATGGCTTCTCTGTGAATGAGCAAGAGTTGAGGATGTAACGGTCTTGAATGACCTTGCTTGCTGCTAGAACCTTGTTGGTTTTAAGGTCCTATAGCAAGAAAATGTCAGCAAATAATTGAAAATAAAGATGATTATCTTTGGCTAGTTGCCTAACAGACAAAAGGTTATATTTGAATTTTGGAAGCAACAAACAGGAAGATAGAGTGACTTTGTTAGATAGTTCTACATCTCCTATATGTGTTACTGAATTGATGCTACAATCTGGAAGCCATACAGGAGTGAAATTATGCATGGTATGAACATTTTTCATAAAGGAAATGGAAATGCACATATGTCTAGTGGCTCCATTGTCAGAAATCCAAGAACCAGGCACAATATAATCATGAGACAAAGTATGGAGTTTAGTCAAAGCAGAACTACCTGCAAAATCATTATAGTAGGCCATATTCACATGGATTTTGAGTTTCCTTCCATTGGTGCTTTTCCTTTAAGGATCCTATCAATTTCCCTTTGGACAACATTGTCGATCACCACTTGCAGATTATCAGCATTGTCTGAGTTTGTCTCCGAAGGTGTTTCCCCCATTGTTACAGCATGAACTCTTGGACCAGCAGTAGTATTCTTCTGTTGAAGCCTCTTCTTGTAATCAACCCATCATTCTGGCAATCCAACCAATTTAAAACACTCCTCTTTCTGATTCCCTTGCTTGTTGCAATGTGTGTAGAATAGTTTACTCTTATCTCTCCTCTGATAAGATGGACCTCTTTGACCTCCTCCCTGCCTTTTCCAATCTGGCACTTGTGCATCCAATGCAGTCTGTTCTTGTACCTTTTCCACTGGCTTACTAAATTCTCCTCCCTTAACCGCCATGACCACATTCTCATTGCTAATGGACATGATGGTACTCAATTGCATACTCTTTTGTGACTTCAGAGTCATGTTGTAGATCTTATTTACTTGGTCTCATTGCAGAAAAAACCCCAGTTGTTTTTGACTCGTTCCGGTCTTACCCCATTTGTTAAAAACATTACAACTCTACCCCAATTGATAAGGAAAGTATTTTTTGGGTACTTTCCGTCTTTTTGTCAGAAGAAATCGTAACGGAAGGTAGTATGCACGTGGAGGAGTAAAATCGTCTTTTGCATAATATTGGCCATATCCTATTTTTTCAAAACAAACGGTGAGAGATGGTGCACATAAACAAACGAGTATATTAAAACACATGTAGTAGTTGGTTGACTTGGTTCAACTTGGTTGTCATAAAGTTGAAACTTGTCTTTGACTCAAAGAGAAGAGAGAGACCTTCGACCGTTTCGACAAATGAGGGTTGCCAGTAGAAACTTGAGTTCCAGATAAAGTGAAGGAATCCATCAACTCTTTCAGTTCGTGAATGAATTCGGACTCAAGAATGGCGGGTTTGTTGCATGGTGTGGATATTGATCTTAAATGGGTCTGCGATATGAACCATAAACAACCAAATATCCCACTAGACCGTAAGTTTTTTTCGATTGATATGCTTCGAACCAGTTAATGAATTTTGCTTCTTTCATTAGATTGATGCATATATCTATATTTTTTACACATGGTTATGTTATTTGATTTTGTTGCATTATGAAAGGTTGTAAACCTAATTTATAGTTACTTTATATATTGGATTTCGATGAACTAAATGTAGTAATGTTGATTAATAGGTGATGAGGCGAAGCAAATAACTACCAAAATCCACCATGGGGAAGTTTTCAGATGACTTCAGAGTTGAAGTATGTTGGTGGCAGAGTTAATTATTTTGATTTCATAGATGAACCCAATATTACCGTGGAGTCCCTGAAGTCATATTTTGATAGGGTTAGTGGCAACGGACCCTACACATTGTTTTATAAGGATAGAAAAAGGGTTTAACATTCTGGATGTAAGCATTTACTTGGATGTGAGAATGTTAAGGCAATGTTGGGGGACAGTACTGTTCAGAGACTGCGGGGGATAGATGTACTGGCATAGGAGACGTAGATCTTTTAATTGGCCAGTATTCAAACATCATCGAGGAACAATGTGATTGTGCTAATGATGATGGACATGATGAGTATGATATTGGGGATCTGGATTACGGCGATAATGACAGTAAATATTCAGGTGATTCTGATGGTGCTTCTGCTTCTGAGTCTGATTCTGAATCTGGTTATGGTGGAGTTGAAAAAATTGGGGTTGAAGTGGATTATGATTATATAGATTGAGATCGTGTCAAAGACAACGATCATGATGCAGGCGACATGGATCTTGAGTACCAGGAAAAAGCTAATGCAGTGGCCCGTGTTCAATTGTGGTGTTTGTTTGAAAAGGACCCAAAATTAGATGAGGTGAAAGGATATGATCATGAGGCTAATTCTGGCTCATTTGAATCATTAGGGTCCAGAAATATATCAGAGGAATCATTTGCACAGGATCCAAATAGAGGTGGAAAGAATTTAAAGAAGGGAAGAGGGTATGCACCTGCTGATTATATGAGATATCCAGGGTTTTAGGTATGGCATGACTTTGAGGATAAGTGGCAACTTATTAAATATATCAAGCTCCATTTAGTTGCTGATAGGCGACATATAAGCTTCAAAAAGCATGACTCCAAGTATGTTAGGGCAATTTGCAAAGGGGAGGGATGCAATTGGGTACTGTATGCAGTTAGGGTGAGTCCAAATGAACCGACGTTTCAGATTAGGACTCACGAAGACAAACACACTTGTCCAAGACTAGATAAACAAGGAACTGTATTGCCCATGTGGTTGCCGAGTGGTACCTTGAAGATTTGACAGTGGAGCCTACCTCAGTCCTCGCTTCATTAAACAGAGGGTTAAGAAGGAACATGGATTGAAGATCTCAAGAAGCCAGGCCTGTAGGGCTAAGAAGAAGACACTTGACATAAACAAAGGCACTATTATGGAGAATTACGCATATTTGGAATCGTATTTGGCCGAAGTGGAAAAGACAAACCCAGGTAGCACAATTAAGCTTATGACTAGGAAAGACGATCCCCGTAGGTTTCAGAGACTGTACATGCATTTAGCAGCATCTAAAAAGGGTTTCAAAGAAGGATATAGGAAACTGATTGGTGTAGACGGGACCTTCTTGAAGACTCCAATCGGGGGCCAGCTGTTTGCGGCTGTGGGATACGATGCTAATAACCAGATATATCCTGTTGCATTTTATATTGTTGAGATAGAGAATGAAGATTCATGGAAGTGGTTTTTGGAATACCTCATTGATGACTTGGGAATAACTGATACACCTGAATGAGTCATCATGTCAGACCGGCAAAAGGTACAAGAGTAAATTTCAAATTTGTGTTTAATAACAGGCATATCCATTGAGAATGTAAATGAGTGTAAAGCAATTGCATTCATGATACTGAAATTTGGTGTGGATGTTAAGGCTTTGACATGAATTATTTTTTCAGGGTCTTCTTCCAGCTGTTGCTACACTTCTGAAAAATGTGTCCCACAGATACTATGTGGAGCACTTATGGAATAATTTCAAGCTAAAGCACCCCAGATTGAAATTGAAAGCCAGATTAACAAATATTGCGGAAGCAACAACTGAAGAGGATTGGAACAAGCTGATGGATGATTTGAAGAAGAAGCATGAAGGAGCATGGAGGTATTTTCATGAAATAGGAGCAAGTCACTGGTGCAGGTCACATTTCTTGACTGAGACAAAGTATGACATGTTGGTGAACAACATATGTGAAGGCTTCAACGGTGTTTTGGTAAAAACCCGTAAACTACCAATCCTTGGTTTCTTGGAGTGGTTGAGGCGATACTTGATAGTTAAATATCACCAGACTAGGGAGCGGATCGAAAAGTCACCATTTGAATTTGGCAGCAAAATAGGGCCCGTTTAGCAGAATCCTGGGAAGAATCTCATTGTTATGTTGCAAAATATTGTGGTGATGGTGAGTATGAGGTGAAGGGGTAAATGAACAGGTTGTTGTGTGCCTTAGATCGGGAGATCTGAGTTGTGCTTGCCGGAAGTGAGATTTGTCTAGTATTCGATGCCCACATGCAGTAAGGTGCATTCTTGATGACAGGAAAAGGTGGAAGATTATGTTGACAGATGGTATTCAAAGGAGATGTACCTGAGAGCATATGCAAATAGTAGCCGGGGGATGAATGGTCCTAAATTTTGGAAGTGAATATCAGACGCATCCCTGTTGCCTCCAGAGTTTAGACCCATGCCAAGAAGAGTGAAAGGCAGTAGGAGCAAGCGACATGATGAACCCCACCGAGTATACAAGAACCAAAAAGGTTGGTATAAGGCCAGTCAGAAGGTGGGCCCGGGACACAGTAAGTACGGTAATTGATAGGCTACGGGGCATAGTAGGAAAAGCTGCCCAGATTTGAAACGTGTAATTATCATGTGGAAATGTATTTTTTTTACTGTGGTGTGTGTTTATGTACCATTATTTGCGATAATAATTGAAAGTTCGTAATTGGAACGCAGAATGATGGCAAGGAGAGTGAGAGGCCCTTAGGTGGGCAGAAGCGAGCAACACCCAAACAGTGGGGCAGACCGCGCAAACGGGTTGCAGTTGAACCTTTGGCTGATGATATAAGCTTTTGTGCTTGTATATGTTCTTAAAAGGTTATAAGTTCTCGATTGTGTTGGTTTGAATGGCTTTATAATTGACAGACGGGTAAGCAAAAGGGAAGAGGCAGGAAAGCACTCCTGAATAGTCAATGTCAATACTGCAAACGTAGGAGGGCACAAACCAAAGTCTTGTCCAGCACTAAAAATGAGATTGGAAAAGAAGAAGGAAGTAGCCAAGCAAGACAAGGTAACCTTCGTATGAAAACTTCGTATTTCGGTTTTAACTTTAACTTAATGTGATACTAAACTTGCATATTCTATGGAGTTAATACTCAGATTGTTATGCATAAACCTAAAGTGCATTGTGATTGCACAGAAGAATATCTTTTTTCACATTCTTGTTTGCGGACTTTGTTGTTGTTGTTCTATACTTTTAAACCAAACCGTGATGTCTTGTCCCCATCATTATGGCACTAGGGTAAGAGTCAGCAACAAATTCAAAAGGGTGCTCAGCAGAAGTGGAATAAGAAACGTAAAGAAAATTTCCAGCTTCGCGATGAAGACGAAAATGAGCGTGAATCCCTATCCGGTGTCCATTACTAACGCAAAGGAAAAATCAAGTTCTGATGGAGATGAAAATGATTCCGTGGAACATCTTCAAATGACCAGTTAAGAATCTTGTCACCGGAGAGCTCTTCGTCAGAAGTTTCATCACACTCCAGCTTTCCAAGCAGAAGCTTCGCCATGTGAATATTGTCAAATGACCAGTCATCGGAGAGCTAAATGCCCTGAAGAACAGTTCACACGTTGGTTAGCAAATGAAACTTCTGACAAAGAGCATGATGATGCAACAGACAGTGCTCTTGAACCACGTGCATGCTACTCGGGAAATTTAAACATGGATGAAATGAAAGATCAGAATGAGGAATCATTGAAGGTCATTACTGCACCTGATGAAACAGCGATAGAGACACTCAACTTAGTTCCTGATGATTTCGAACAAACTTGCAGTTTTTCGGATCAGTGTTCGGGATTTGCATGGATTTATGAACACTGTCATGGGGAGTTTAAACATGGAGAGTGGGAGGATTATACTCGGTTAAGCATGAAATGTTCATTTTGTGATTGTTCTGGACACCTTATACATGATTGTGTAGAAGCACATGTAATGTGATTTTCATCAGTTGTTGAAAAAAATAATAGTTAAACAAAAACTAAAAAATTGGTTGTTTTCTAATGTTGACAGAAGGCAACAGAAAATAATCGTCAACCTGAGGATGCAGGGAACTCCGTCATTGCACCGGTGGTAGAGTCACAGCCCCATGCAGACCCCAACAAAGCATCGCCCGCAATGGAAATGGTACGCCTGTTGTATCATTTACGGTTGACCATGGTCATTTTCTTGAGAATGGTTAAACAGTTATTAATGCATTTTTACATTCATCTTGTTGTAGCTGTCAAAGTTGCCCCCTACTCGAAAGAAAATGGGCCGATGTAGCAAGGTCAATAAAGAGAATTTAGGTCCTACTACACCTAGTCCGAGGAGATTTAGCAGCAGACTTAGGGGGGGGGTTGTTTTGACACAATCTCCCGTGGGGGGCTAGGAGGCTCGACAACTTCTCCAATTGATATTGGTCTACAAGAGGAAGATCAGGCACGAAATGACCAGTCCCATGCTTTTGATTTTGTTGTTTTGTAGGGTTTGGAAGGTAGCATTTTTGCAAGGGATTTGTGTAATCCTGTGCTAAACTGATTCTCCATTCATTTTATAGGGATGTGACGGTGATAGAGAAGCAGATGACATCAGGCCGGGGGAGAGAATTTGGGACAAAATTTGGAGAACAACCCTGAAAATAGCTTCAAACTAGGTGTTGGTCGGTCACGCAAGGCCAGATATCGAATGGTGAGTCTTGTTTTTTTTTTTGTTTATATAACGATCATAGTTGTAAGTTGTGACACAATATTTTATCAACGATTGGTGAGTGCAGAACATTCCGGTCAAATTTGTGCGCCGCCACACACTGCAGGCAAAAGAAGCTGCCAGGGTTGAAGGACCAGTGGAAGCAGCACAATTCCGAATAACAACCACAACTGATACCCGTGGTTCTACAGTTCAGAAGGAATTATCCGGGAACTGGAAGAAGTTCTTTCAAGACAACCTGATCCAAGCGGACCAGCTTGTGCAGTTAACTCTTGACATAGCATCTAATATGCCAAATAGTAAGATGGTTGTATTCAGAATGTCCAATCTCTGAACTGGAGGAGACATTGTAGCAATATGCTTGGGATCATTGTACTGTTTCGCTCATGATGGCTGTAATTTGAACATTAGGTTTGCTTTCTTCAGCAGCTTCTAGCATTATGGTTGGGATGATTGTACTGAAACTACTTCCCGGGAGTATTTAAATTTTGGATTTAGTTATGTGGACAACCAGTTACTAGTTATTTGTTTGACGTGTGATTTAAAATGTGACTGGAGATGTTGTTTGGATGGAGGGGGTTTTCTTTTTGTTTCAAGAAACCAGAAATGATAATGGGATTTAAACCTATAAATATATGAGTAAGCAAATAATTCATTCCAAATGAGAGGTCATGTAGCCAAATTGGTGTACAACTGTACATTTTAGTCCCCAAATCCCAATAGGCCAATATGAAAGGTGCATTATTTTTTATAGTTTTATTTTCTTTTTCTTTTTAAAAGTGAAAAGGTGCATTTAATTTGTCCTTCCGCTTCATCTCTCACCACACAAAAAATTGGTGGATATAATACAAAGGGACATTATTTTCCTTTTTCCGAATGTTTGTTGATTTAGGTAAACCTTCTGGGACGCATCTCCAACTACCCTTTCCCAAATCTGGCCAGAAACCCCAATTCTAATAAGGTACTTGCAAAAATTCCTTTCTTATCCTTCTCACTTTTATTTCTATGCATTTTTTCAACGTAGATCTAGGACAATAATTCTGTTCTCCAGTTGTAGTAGGATGTTGTGGCCCCGATAATTACTACGCATTCAAATATTCCATTAAGACGAACTATATACCCTAATTATTTGCCACGTTGGTGTTTAGGATTTGAAAAATGTTTGTTGATTTAAGAGAAGTAGGAGATCTGGTGGTGCATTTTTTGATGGAATGAAAAGTTCTATATTTATAGTGCCATACTTAGCATTGCTCGGTTCGTATATTAATTTAGTAATGTTAATCATTTTAGTAAAACAAACTATTTTTTAAACATACTTGTCTTATTCATTATTCTGATTATGTGGAATGGCGTATTTACTATATGGAATGGAGATTGTTTCTATTAATCAAGTAACTACTACTGGGTTTTTTAATATAGTTGTCTTATTATTACTAGTTATGTGGAATGTAGTTTATTGCCAAATATGAGGAAGGTTAGGATTGTATATTGTATTGTAACTATCAGGAATGTAGATGAAACTGAAACCACCTCATTAGGTTTTGGACCAAATGTCATTGTCACCAAATAGTTAGCGATAAAAGGACCATCATGTCTTTTTTCATTTGGATGAGGCAATTTTTAAAAGGGAGAAAGGGACCTTTATGTTTGTTTCATACCTTTGTTTTTTGGGGGGTTATGAGTACTTAAACAAATATTTTTTTTAGGTGTCAAAAAAATCGCACTCCAGCTCCAATGATGATAGTTATTTCAGTGAGTCAGAGCTTGATGAACGGACAGATACTTTGTATAATTCTTTGAGAAATGGAGGTCAGGAAGTTCATGTTCGTGGGAACAAATTTACTTGCCCTTTTTGTAAAGGTAAAAAAAGAGTAAGTTTGAATACGTTGACATTCTACAGAATGCAAATGAGGCGGGTCGTTCGGGGAAAAATTCTATGCAAAAGCGAGCGAATCATATGGAATTGGCGAGATATTTACAAGATGATCTCGCTCCCATCCCTCATGCAGATGATCCCGCTGAAATACCAATACCGGCAGTTCCTCATGCAGAAGTAGTGGTGGATCCCATTTAATCTCACAATCCATTGGATCACTTTGTTTACTCTCCAATGGCTGCTGTTGTTAACCTGCTTAGAAAACTCGATTGTGGAAAGTTTGTTGGACCGAGTGGCAGGGTTCTGCGTGAAAAGTATTTGTTTGAAGGTTTTAATCCGACAAAAGTGGAGCCACTGTGGGATGATGAAACTGGCCACTCGGGAATAGGTATTGTTCATTTTAGAAGTGGTTTTAATGGATTAACGGATGCTCTTGCATTTCATCAGGCTATAAGAATGATCACTATGGGAAGCAGGATTGGAATGATTCTGGTACTCACAATGACTTCCTATATGCCTGGGTTGCTCAAGAAGATGATTATGCATCCACTGGAATCGTTGGGAGGAAACTTCGTAGGTGTGCAGCCATCAAAAGCTTCGATGAAATCCAAGGTCTCTAGGACACCTGTTCTGCCACTCCTGGTTGACTTTCATGTAATTTTTTTAAAAAAAAATCCTGGGAAGACATGTGATACTGTGTTATGCACCTTATATATTTGGAGGCAGTCGAATTTTAAAAGTGTGTTGTGTTCTAGAATTGTTGTATTCTTGAAATGTATTTGTTTTTAGTCCTTTGGTTTTTGAAGTAATAGCTGAAACGACGTCGTTTTTACCATACATCATTTTAAAAGTCCAACTAAAGCGGAATCAGGGTTCCTGAAAAATGGTGCCAGCGTTCTTTTATTGAATGAAAGTCGTATAAGGGTCGTTAAAAGTCTCAGGTATTCTTGAATTGTTGTGTTCTTGAAATGTAGCGGTTTTTAGTCCTTTGGTTTTTTAAGTAATAGCTGAAACGACATCGTTTTTACCATACACCATTTTAAAAGCCCAAGCAAAGCAGAATCAGGGTTCCTGAAAACGGTGTCAGCGTTCTTTTATTGAATGGAAGTCGCATAAGGGTCGTCGTTCAACGGGAAAAATGAGATCAGGGTTCATCAGATTCAAGGGACTTAAAAAACTCGCGGGTATAAACCGGGTCGTTTTTGGGGTATAACATAAACGGGTCGCCCTTTCCATTTTCCCTTTTATTTTCCCTTTTGTCCTTGGTTTTTTTTTTTTTTTTTTTTTTTTTGCATTCAGCCTTCCCCGGTTGTTTTTCTTTTATTTTTGTTTTTCTTTTTTCGCCTTTTTGTCTTATGATTATTATTATTATTATTATTATTATTATTATTATTATATATCAATTTAGTAATCATTAACGAAATCAATCTAAAATTAACATTGTATCTTTTTGACAAAGAAATATCAAAAATATAAGTTTAGGAAACACTAAATAAGGACAAAAGTTGGTTTGATTTAAATTAGCCATGGATTTAAATACTATCACCCCTGAATTTTTCATTAGCCAAATTGAAAAGACATGGGACATAGTCAAAAGTACTATAATACAACCATAATGCCTAACTAAAGACATGGGACATAATTAAAATACTACAATACACCCATAATGCCCAACGACTAATGGGAACCGTTCACAAAAACCATAAATCCCTAGAGTTACAGATGGTTGATTTACAAGATGTGGAAGAAAAACAAGTTAGTTCCTTTGACCCATTCTAGTCCGCATAACTGATCCATGCCAATGTCCATCTCTTGGACCAACTAAGAATCAATGCCAGAAATCTTTCTTTTGACCCCTTGAACATCCAGCACAAAACTCTATTCTTTTTCAGATTGAGTATCTTCTATCACAATTTGGGTCTTTCCTTCCTCCCCAGCTAGGTGAGTTTTGACAAATGTAGCCGGTACATGCTACAAAAATCCAACAACAATTCCCACAAATAAGGGAACCATGTAACAGTATAAATATGAAACCATGACAAAACGAAAGTGAAAAAATGAATAAATTTCTTGTACTAACCAACTAAAATGGGTAACTGAGAATGCTCTTCTTGACTGTAAACTCGAACCACGGAAAAGCAGTATCCTCTTCTTGAGACCTTGGTTCTGAAAACAACATTCATAATTAGACCTTCTCAACCATTGTTAAAGGGAACTACAACAAAATCATCAAGGTGTGATATTTTTTAATTCATAATCACAGAAAAAAACACACAAATTTGATTAATCATATTATCTTTATCTTTATCTTGGCGCCAGCCATTACATTTACCACTGTAGTCTACTTCTGTGACAGTGTCATCAAATATACCAACCTCAACTTGGCATTATCCTTCATTGTAAAAACAAGCATATAGTTTATAACAATTCACAATTCCTCTCTCCTGTTCAAATTGTATCAAATCTTGGCCCATTAATTTAGTTCCCGTGTCTGTATGGCGTAAGGTAACCTTCCAAGTAATCACCTCACCAAGTTATGCCCATATTTATGCATAAAAGCTGATGGAATCCGCTGACATACGTAAAAATGTAGGTTTCATATAACTATATGGATTTATAAACAATTTGGGACAAATTAGCACTTACAATTCCTTCTGAAATAGGCCAATCAATAATTTTATAGAAGTTTCCCTTGGGTTTTTCGGACCCCATTCTAATGGCTTTAAGATTTCCACCCCCACATCTTTTCATAGTCCAGTTTTTAACCATCGGGAAAAGATAAAAGGATTGTTTAATCCCTTCATCAATTCACATAGAATTGCAACGAAATAGAATCTCACCCATTAAAAAGCCAATTTTCATACACCCAAGTACGCCCCCACAAAAAACAAAAAAAAGGAAAGATACAAATTAATGTATTCAGTAATAAAAAGTTAACCGAAAAATTCGTACCTTTGAAAACTAGAATCCTTGCCGCTTCCAGAAAGCCCTTTAAATTCCCAGCAAATCCAAGAAGGGTAGTATACTTTTGATGTTGGAGAAAATGTGGAACTACTATTGCTTGAGATTCAGCTATTAACTATATAACTTTTTTTTTGAGCTGATGTGGTGATTATTTATTCGACCTCTCATTTCCTTTTGGCCCCTTCATCTACTACCAATTGACCGTTTGTTCAAATCCACTGTTTTAACTTTCTCACTAATTCAATATATCTATTCACTCTTTAACATAGACAAATGGATACATTTCTATATTGTTATTATATTACTGGCAAATTTAAACCCATTGTACAATGTAGGAAGAGCAAATTTGGAAGTGACATTATTCTGCAAAAGACGCTTGGTATAAAAAAATAATTGAAATGTTGTAATGAAAAAAAATAATATATATATATAGATATTTTCTCTTCATAATTTACTGAAATGCCTTTACTTTAACCCATTAGTTCCTTTCATAGATACAAATTTTGTGCACTGACCTTAGTAGTTGGTACATGATTTACTCTATAAACTGCCTACGAAGGGTTAAAGAAAATAAATGGGATTGTCATTTGTGGAATATGGATAGCCTTGCTCTTTCCAGTGTTTGATACGACAATGATGTCGATTTGACAACACGAAATCTTATAAACCAAGAAAATATTCGAACTTTGAATACTGGTAGATTAGAGTATAGATTAGGTAGTGAAAAAATGAATAAGCCAAAGGTACCCACCATACTTTTTTTCTACCGCCGCAGGACCACCTCCACCACCCAACTACGCCGCTGGATAACGCCGACCATCGACCGACCGGCATGATTTTGTGCAACTCTCGGTGATTGTATTAGTCATGGTCCGGAGGCATAGCAATGTAGACTGGCGGCGGTTATTGGTGGTGGAGGTGGCCAGTTGGTGGTTTATTAAGATGAGACAAATTGAGACAAAAAACGCTTACTAAAATTATACTATGGCACCCTTCGAATTATATTATGGCACCCTTATGTTATATTTTAATCTCAACCCCAAAATGAATTCCAATTTTTTCAGTTATGCCTTTACTAAAATATGTATAATTTTAAATGGTACCCTTCTATGTTAATATTTTAAATCTCAACTCCTATAAGAATTCCAATAGTTACAGTTACATCCTTGAACCCAACACTAATATGGTTTTCACTTGAACCCAACACTAATATAACTAATATTCCAGAAATTAATACATAACCTTATCACAATTAGTGTTTAGCACGTAACAATATTGAAACTACTACAACACTAATAGAGATGAATTGTAATACCTCACAATGCTAACATACTCCATAACGTTACTAACACTATGACAAATTTGTGGCCGCAACTGCCCTCTACCATCGTCGGTGTCATTGTTGTGTGTTTGTGCTGCTTGTGCTGCAACTGTCGTTGTTGCGTGCTTGTGCTGCTGCTGGTATCTGGAGACAGAAAACGGCGAGAGTTATGCCGTTGTTGTTTCGTCGCTGTGATTTTTCTTCCTTCCTCGTCGTTGTGCTGCCGTCGCTGTGATTTTTTTCTTCCTTCATCGGCCGCCACTCAATTACCTTCGCTGCATCGTCGTCCGTCCGTTCGTCCGTCTGTCCGTCCGGCTTCTACTTTGTCCAGCTTCTGCTTTGTCAGGCCGTCTGTCCGTTGCTCAATTTCTTCCTTTGTTTGCCTAGGCTTGCCAGCCGTCCTCAGCCTCCGCAATCTCAGGACCAATTTTGACAGATTGCCAGCATCTTTGTTAGGCCATTTAGTTTGCCAGCCCCCAGCAAAAACAAAAAAAAAAAACCTCGCCGTCTTTGCCTCATGGCGCATGGTGCTGAAGAATTCAGTACTTCACCTCCCCCCCTTCTTTCCGCTGGTACTGCTGCTCCGCTACCTGTTCACGATGTTCCCAAACGTCGTACGATTACTCCGTACGACCTAATGCCAGTGGCAATCCAGGAACGCCAATCACTCAGGTTATGTTGACGATAATTATGATGAATGGTCTGTGTCTTTGTTCGTACTGCCTTTCGAGCGCGTAAGAAATTTGGTTTCGTTGATGGCACGCTTCCTCAACCGCCGGCAACGTCACCCGATTTTGAGGATTGGTGGACAAACCAATCTTTGATTGTTTCCTCGCTGCGTAATTCCATCGAGCCATCCATCCGTTCCACAGTTCCTCACCGCGAAGTTGATTCGGTTCTCTAGACGGATCTGCATGAACGCTTTGGTGTTGTGAATGGTCCCCGGATTCAGTAGCTCAAGACCGATCTAGTGAATTATAAGCAGAAGGGTTTGAGCATGTCGGCTTATTACGGTCGGCTTCAGCTGCTGTGGGAGGAGTTAGCCAACTACGAACCACTGCAGTCATGTTCTTGTGGTTCTCCCGTCGTCCTTGCAGAATCAGAACGGCGCCGGGAATCTGAGAAGCTGCATCAATTATTCATGGGACTGGATGCCTCCTGTATGGCACACTTCATTGAGTTTGCTCTCTCAAGACCCGCTGCCCACTATCAATCGTGCCTATTTGTTGCTTGTCCAGGAAGAGCAGCTGCGGTCCATCTCTAATGGGACTGATGAAGTTGCAGCCGATGCTCTGAGTTTCGCGGTTCAAGCTCCACGGTCTGCCCAGCTTCCCA